CACCAGGCCTTTTTTCCTAATCTGTCTCAGTCTAGAAGCTCTGCTAAAAACCCATTCAGCATCATAGCAACATGCAAGTCTCAACTGACGGGTGGTGGTTATACACGAGGTGCGCTGGCTGGAAATCGAACCCAGGTCCCCCTCAGAAAACGCAAGAATTCTACCAACGCCCGCGCTTCAGCAGTAGGTATGTGCCCTTCTTAAAACACCCTGAAGAGCACCCCTTTTGGGGGAATGGAGTGTGGGGAAGGGTTACTCTGGAAACAGAGATCATATTGTCTTCAAACCAGAGAGAGATTCTTTGTTCTGGATAATAAGACAAACACTGAAGGAATAAAAAGACCTATTCAGCAAGTCGTTTTCTCTCTGCCCACCCATCAAAATAAAAACTCTCATTTTCCTTTGATTACTTTACTTACTTATGTTAGTAAAATATCTGATCAAAGCATCAATCAAGGGGGCGGGGGGGAGAGTAGGAAGGATTACCCACATTGACTCCAGTTTTAGATGGAGGTTCTTTGACTCTCCCAGGCCAAAAAATTAACCCGTTCCTGACGACAGGAAAAGCCGTTTTAATGGCTTAATTCCTACCCAGGCCTCCCTATGTTCCAAGTGCCTCAGGAAAAGCTTATAAAAACTACAGTCAGGAGAGATACATACTATTTCTCAAAACTGCCCACATTATTACTGGGCTGTGGGGACCCTCATCTCAGGGAACATTTAGCTCAATTGGCTTAACATAAAGACAATATTCTACTCCACCGGTCACACCCCATCTGGAGAAAAGGAGAATGAAGAAAACCAGACACAAGAGAAAAATTAGTCCAAAGGACTAATGGACCGCAACTACCCCAGCCTCCACCAGACTGAGCCCAGCACAACTAGTTGGTGCCTGGCTACCACCACTGACTACTATGACAGGGATCACAATAGAGGGTCAGGGCTGGAGAAAAATGTAGAACAAAATTCTAACTCAACAACAACAAAAAAAAGACCAGACCTAATGGTCTGATAGAGACTGGAGAAACCCTGATAAACGGAGAGGTCTCATCACCATACCTCTTGGGTAAAAACCCAAGAAATAGAAGCAATTATGTGCCTTAAAATACAGCTATTCGGTTTCCCAGACACTCTTATAGTTCAGTAACAAAGTCACTCCTGAGGTTCACCCTTCAGCCAAAGATTAGACAGACCCATAAAACAAAATGAGACTAAATGGACCCACCAGCCCAGGGGCAAGGACGAGAAGGAAGGAGGGGGCAGGAAAGCTGGTAATGGGGAACCTAAGGTCGAGAAGGGGAGAATGCTCAAATGTTGTGGGATTGGCAACCAATGTCACAAAATAATATGTATATTGTTTAGTGAGAAGCTAGTTTGTTCTGTAAACCTTCATCTAAAGTACAATAAAAAAATTTTTAAACTGCACACATTATTTGGATGACCACAAAGTGTAAAAACCATGCAATCTACTAACTTATTTAATTACTTAATTTTCTGTAAAACTTAAAAATCAAGAAAGGCAAAAATCTTCCCAGAAAGAACTTCAAACCTTATAAAGGACAGTTGGCCTGTAGTTCCGTGACAGAACTTTAATAGTACTCAGACTGAAACCAGGGGCTGCTATCACAATCTGTTCTACTTCAAGGCTCCAATCCACCTGCAGGTTTACTGAAAACCTCTGCAATAAGGAGGCTTCTAGGCATTTTGCAAAAGAGTCATGACTAACCTCTGTCTTATCCCAAATGTCCTAAGACAGACACTCATCTGCCATCAGCCTTGGATACTTGCTGTTATACTTGTTGTTGGGTGCCGTTGAGTCACTTCTGACTCATTGCAACCCTATGTACAACAGAATGAGACACTGCCTGGTCCTGATCCATCGTCTGGGATACAGTGGTTAAGAGTCTGGCTGCTAACTAAAAGGTCAGCAGTTCGAATCCACCAGCTGCTCCTTGGAAACCCTATGGGGCAGTTCTATAGACTCTATAGGGTCACTATGAGTCAGAATCGACTCGACAGCAACAGATTTGGTTTGGTTTGGTTCCATCCTCAGAATCGTTGCTATGTTTGAGCCCATCTGAAAAAAATTGGCCAGAGAAAACCTTGGATACCACCCTGAAATAAAAAGATTTCAAAGGATTTCAGATATACTAAAGTTACTTGATAATGTGAAGCCTACTAATGTGAAGCCTACCTATTAAGGTCTTTATCTAAAACTCTAGGGAAACCGAATAGCTGTATTTTAAGGCACATAATTGCTTCTATTTCTTGGGTTTTTACCCAAGAGGTATGGTGATGAGACCTCTCCGTTTATCATGTCACTTAATAACCCCAATAACTCTATTCTCAGAAGAAACTAAGGCTGAGAGAGTAACCTGCCCAAAGCTACAGAGCTAGTGAGTGGTCTACCTGTTGACCCCATCTCAAACCCTTTCCGTCCCAACCAGGTGCCCTTGGGTTCACTGTGCTTCCAGAAGTAGGCTTTTGTACAACCTCACACTGCTGCCCTCCCCCACCAACCACACACATGAAGGCGCCACCTATTCCCCTGCCTCTTCATCCTTTATTGGGTCAGTATCACCAGTCTCCTCCCAGGAACTACAGAGTAGAAGTTTAAGGAGAGCAAGTGGCCATCTAAGATGCATCAGTTGGTCCCAACCACCTGGAGTAAAGGAGAATGAAGAACACCAAAGACACAAGGAAAGTATTAGCCCAAGAGACAGAAAGGGCCACATAAACCAGAGACTTCATCTGCCTGAGACCAGAAGAACTAGATGGTGCCCAGCTACCACCAATGACTGCCCTGACAGGGAACACAACAGACAGTCCCTGATGGAGCGGGAGAAAGGTGGGGTGCAGAACTCAAATTACATAAAAAGACCAGACTTAATGGTCTGACTGAGACTGGAGGAACCTCAGAAAGCATGGCCCCTGGATTCTCTATCAGCCCAGAACTAAAACAATTTCTGAGGCCAACTCTTCAGACAAAGATTGGACTGGACTGTGGGGCATAAAATGATACTTGTGAAGACTGTGCTTAGCTCAAGTAGATACATGTGACTAAACAGGCAGCTCCTGTCCGGAGGTGAGATGAGAAGGCAGAGAGGGTTAGGAGCTGGTTGAATGGACATGGAAAATCAGGGGGGGAAAGGAGGGGTGTGCTGTCACAGTATAGGGAAAGCAATTAGGGTCACATAACAATGTATGTATAAGTTTTTGTGTAAGAGACTAACTTGAAATGTAAACTTTCACTTAAACTACAACAATAAACAATAACAAAAAGTTTAAGGAGAGGTTTTTCTAGTCCAGGGAACCTCTTAATCTACCTTCCTCTCTGATCCACTGGCCACCTCATCACTGACACTCCTACTTGAGGGGGTTAGTGGGCACAAGGGCACAGGCACAGGCTGTACCAGGATGTCCCAGAGGTTCACTCTTTCATTCTGTTTCTATTGTACTTTAGATAAAGGTTTACAGAGCAAACTAGCTTATCATTAAACAATCAATATACATATTGTTTCTTGACACTGGCTGCCAACCCCACAACATGTCAACGCTCTCCCCTTCTAGACCTTCAATTCCCGATTATGAGCTTTCCTGTCCCCTCTTTCCCTCTCGTCCTTGCCCCTCGGCCAGTGTGTCCATTCACTCTCATTTTGTTTTATGGGCCTGTCTAATCTTTGGCTGAAGGGCAAACCTCTGGAGTGACTTCATTACTGAGCTATAAGGGTGTCTGGGGGCCATACTCTCAGGGTTTCTCCAGTCTCTGTCAGATCAGTAAGTATGGTCTTTTCTTTTTTTTTGTGAGTTAGCATTTTGTTCTACATTTTTCTCCAGCTCTGCCTGGGACCTTCTATTGTGATCCCTGTCAGAGTTGGTGGTGGTAGCTGGGCACCATCTAGTTGTGTTGGACTTAGTCTAGTGGAGGCTGTGGTAGTGGTGGTCCATTAGTCCTTTGGACTAATCTTTCCCTTGTGTCTGGTCTTCTTCATTCTCCCTTGCTCCAGATGGGGTGAGGCCAGTGGAGTATCTTAGACGGCTGCTCACAGGCTTTTAAGAAACCAGACGCTACTCACCAAGGTAGAATGTAGAGCACTTTCTTTGTAAATTATGTTATGACAGTTGAACTAGATGTTCCCGAAGACCATGGTCCCCATCACTCTTTCATTCTAATCTGGTGTAATCAGCATTATATCCTCCAAACACTTCCACCCCAGTTTTCAAAGGGAAAACTGTGGACACACAAATAGCAATGTGGCGCTCATGCCGAAGGCTACAATTCCAAGAAAACCCAGGTCCAGGGAGTGGGACACCCGAGTTCCAGGCCCCGTCCTGTTACTAGTCAGTATCCTGACAAGGGGAATTCTATTGCTCCTGTTGACCTCAGTTTCCTGGGATGCAGAAAGGAGCTGAAAAGAAGCAACCTGCACTCCTTAGAAGACCAAGCCGACTTATGTAAAGCACTTGAAACTGTTCCATTTCGTACTTGAAGAAATTTTGTTTCTTTGCGTTACCTCCTCTCCGACTTCCACCTTTTAGGTGGGCAGAAGGGGAAATAAAGTGGTCAGATCTTCTAACAAATTTATAAAGAGTTCGTGTGCATGTGGCAGGAAAAAAAAGGCAGGATAAATAAATAGGTCCCTATCCTTCTCTATCTTCTCTTCTCTCTTCTGATCCCAAATCCTAAACCCAGAAATCACGTGATCACAGATGACATGAGCTCCAAACAGGTCAGATAAGTAGTCCTCAGTTACCACCCTCTTCCAAATCACAGGCTGGTGACAGACTGGAGAAGCGAAGGACCTCGCGGACCCCATCAATAGACCAACTTCTCCAGGACCGGCCGGGCCCGCAGCACCTGTGCTCCCACGCCCCGGGTCGCGCCGCTTCGGGGGACCGGGACGCCTGAGCAGCTGCACGGCCGGGGCACGGCCCGCGGCCCCCTACTCTGGGCCCGCCACGTCCCCCACAGTCCGCCCAGGTCACTCGCGGCCGCTCACCTGCGCCAGACAGAGCAGCAGCAGGAGGATGCAGAGGGCCGGGCTGCACGCTCTCATGTTGTCGCCGCGCGGGATTGGGAAGATCAGAGGGGCTCGGCTTCGTTCCGCTCCACGACCTGGGTGCCGCCTCACTTCCCCGGGCTCAGTTTCAGGACCCGGCGCAGGCGGAGCGAGGAAGCAAGCGCGGGCAGCTGTGAGCTGCGCGCGCAGGTCAGGAAGGACGAAGGCGTCGCCGGTTCCTCCTCCTTCTGGGCGGGGCCGCTGCTGGGGCTCCGGGGCTGACTAGCGGCGCGCCCGGTGGCGGGCCAGGGCCGGGACTGTGCGGCACCGCCCAGGCGACTTCTCCGCGTCCTGGCATAGTACCTCTCCCGCCCGGGCGCGGCATGAGGCTGAGGGTGGAGGGAGCTTCCGGGGGTCCTCAAACCTGGGCAGCTGAACTTTTGGAATCAGACCCGGAGGATGTATCTGGAGTTGTGCCAACAGTGCGTGGTTTTGGTGCTTTAACTCGTTTCCTTCCTTTTTGCCTCGCCTGTTCACCAGGCGCTCCTTAGAAATCCTATGGGGCAGTTCTACTCTGTCCTGTAGGGTCGGTATGAGTCGGAATCGACTCCACGGCAAGGGGTTTGGTGTTTTGGGGTTTTTTTTTGTTTTTTTTTTTTTTTTTTTTGGTTTATCTGCAACCGATCATAGGGATGGCGCAGGACCCGGCAGCGTTTCGTTCTGTTGTGCATGGAGTCGCCATGAGTCAGGGGAGGCTCAAGGGCAGCCAACAATAACAGGTTGGAGAAGGTTGAGATAAGTGCTCCGAGCAGTTTGTCCTCCCAAACCCAGTCACCGAAAAGGAATGGGGCACCAGCTCCGGGCGGTGACGCACAATGGCCTGAGCCTGTTGATCTAAAACTCAGTGGGGCGGAGTGCGGAGGTGGGTGGTGCCCCTTAGCTACCCTCTTTATTTACTGTCAAGTCAGCCACGTTTGGAGAAAGCGTTAGAACCGCACCACCTACTGGCGAAGCCAAGCGTAGCAATGAACCCATTGGGGTGAGGAGACACCAGAAGGGTCTGCAAAACCTATTTTGAAGTTCTAAGTGAAGTCAGGTAACACAAAGATTAGAGGCGTTTTTGTTTATTAGCTATGCACTTATATATATATATATATATATATATATCCCTTTGACTTATGTTTTATTGTATACATTTCTGGTAGTATTTTCCCTCAGATTTTAATTCTTCAGACCACTCAAAATCATCAATCCTTTCCATTTTGAAGTTAAGGAAATGGAAGTAAGGATCTCTTTTCCCAACAGTGGAAGCCAATTTTGAATGAAAAGACTATCCATCTGTATCAATGAACAAAACCAGCCCTAGATTGGACTATGAGGGTGACATTTGTTATGCATGCCCGTCCTTAACTCTATCAGTCTTAGAAGAAATATAACCAGAATGCTCGTTAGAAGCAAGGATGGCAAGACTATGACTTGTTTACTTTGGATGCCTCATCAAGAGAGACAGATCGGTAGAAAAGGACATCATGTATGGTAAAGTAGAGGGTCAGTGAAAATGAAGGAGACCCTCAATGAGATGGACAGACACGGTAGCCACAACAATGGATTCAAACATACCAACAATCGTGAAGATGACACAGGACTGGGCAACATTTCCTTCTGTTACATATAAGGTCACCATGAGTCAGAGCCAACTCCATGGCAACTAATAACAATCCCTACCCTACAGAGGCTTTTTTACTTATTCTCTTGCCTCCCCATCTCCTCCGTCCTGAAATATCTGCCTGACTGCCCTGGTAGTGAAACTATAGGCATTTCCTCTGGACTTTCAGCCCTAGATCTTCCATGACTACCTCCTAGCCCTCATCCAAATATGTGCTCTCCTGTCATGGATTGAATTGTGTCCCCCCAAAATATGTGTCAACTTGGTTAGGTCATGATTCCCAGTATTGTGTGGTTGGCCTCTGTTTTGTGATTGTAATTTTACATTAAAGAGGATTACAGTGGGATTGTAAACACCCTTACTAAGGTCAGAAAACCCTGGTGGTGTAGTGGTTAAGAGTTACGGCTGCTAACCAAAAGGTCGGCAGTTTGAATCCACTAGGCACCCCTTGGAAACTCTATGGGGCAGTTCTACTCTGTCCTATAGGGTCACTATGAGTCAGAATCGACTCGTTGGCAGTGGGTTTGGTTTGGGTTTACTAAGGTAACATCCCTGATCCAATGTAAAGGAAATTTCCCTGGGGTGTGGCCTGCACCATCTTTTGTCTTACAAGAGATGAAAGGAAGCGAGCAGAGAGGGGGGCACCTCATACCACCAAGAAAGAGGCACCGGGAGCAGAGTGCGTCCTTTGGACCTAGGGTTCTTGTGCAGAGAAGCTCCTAGTCCAGGGGAAGATTGATGAGAAGGACCTTCTTCCAGAGCTGACAGAAAAAGCCTTCCCCTGTAGCTAACACCCTGAATTTGGAATTTTAGCCTACTAGCCTATAAGAAAATAAATGTCTCTTTGTTAAAGCCATCCACTTGTGATATTTCTGTTATAGCAGCACTAGATGACTAAGACACAATTTGGTACCAGGAGTAGGGTACTGCTCTATCAGATACCTAAAATGTGGAAGCAGTTTTGAAACTCTGAATGGATAGAGGACTGGAAGCAGCAGAGAAGTGGCAGTGGCAGAGAACCAGCAGCAGCAGAACTAGGAGACCAGCGCCAGACAGCGCTGGTGCTGACCCATGGAGAGGGAGAGCTGATTGCCTTTGCACAGGAGGCTTACTGGTGGAGTGGGGTGCCTCTAGGCACTTATCAGTGAAGCTTCAGAGCTTTGGAACACTTGCCTCAGCAGGGCAGATGCAGGTGTGAGTTCTCAGGGGCCAAGAGGTCAGGGAACCAGGAAGCAGAAGCTGAAGAGACAAGGAATACAGGAAGTTGAGCTGCCTCAGTCTCAAAAAGTGTGACCTTGACCTCTGGGGCTTCAAAGGGTGGAGCCATGGCCTCTGGTGTTCCTAAGGGTGGAGTTGCCACTCAGATGGACTAGGAGAATGGTGCACGTAAAGCCAAGGGAGCAGAGTTGCCACCCCAGTGGGCCTGGAAGGTGGAGCTGAAGCCCAGAGGCGAGGGGTCTCCACTCAGAATCTGGAGAGTGGGGCCAATACCTAGAGTCTGGAGGGCAGGGCCATTGTGTAAATGGTCTCAGAACAGAGGATTATTTGCAAAGCCTTGAGGACTAATGTAATGTGTTCTCCTGACTTGCTAGGTGCCTGTTATGCCTTTTTCCCTTCGTTTTCTCCCATTTGTAACAGAAATGTCTAGCTTGGCCTGTTCTGCCATTGTACTTTGGAAGCAGATAACTTGTATTGTAGATTTCACAGATGAAGAGGAATTTTTGGATTTTGGACTTGGAGCCGATTTAATACTTTTGCTATGATATAATGTGGCAAATGTGTCTTACGTGTAGCAAGGACATGAATTTTGGGGGGCCAAAGGGGGGAATGTCATGGATTGAATTGTGTCCCCCAAAAATATGTGTCAACTTGGTTAGGCCATAATTCCCAGTATTGTGTGGTTGTCCTCTATTTTGTGATTGTAATTTTATGTTAAAAGAGGATTAGAGTGGGATTGTAACACCATTACTAAGGTCACATCCCTGATCCAATGTAAAGGAGTTTCCCTGGGGTATGGCCTGTACCACCTTTTATCTTACAAGGGATAAAAGGAAAGGGAAGCAAGCAGAGATGGGGGGACCTCATACCACCAAGAAAGAAGCACTGGGAGCAGAGCATGTCCTCTGGACCCAGGGTTCCTGTGCAGAGAAGCTTCTAGTCCAGGGGAAGATTGATAAGAAGGACCTTCCTCCAGAGCTGACAGAGAGAGAAAGCCTTCCCCTGGAGTTGACACCCTGAATGTGGACTTCTAGCCTACTAGACTGTGAAACAAATAAATGTCTCTTTGTTAAAGCCATCCACTTGTGGTATTTCTGTTATAGCAGCGCTAGATGACTAAGACACTTCCCATTCCCCAGATTCCTGCACTTGGTGGTTCAGCTGATTACAAAGTAGAATGCTATAATGCAGTAGCTCTCAAATTATGCTTACCTAATGGTCTCGGGACATCTAGGTCAGTTGGCATAGCATAGTACATGAAGAAAATGTTCTATATCCTACTTTGGTGAGTAGCGTCTGGGGTCTTAAAAGCTTGCAAACAGCTATCTAAGATACATCTATTGGTCCCATCCCATCCGGAGCAAAGAAGAATGAAGAAAACCAAAGACTCAAGGAAAATACTAGTCCAAAGTACTAATGGAACACATGAACCACAGCCTCCACCAGCCTGAGCTCAGAAGAACTAGATGGTGCCTGGCTACCACCACCCACCACTTTGACAGGTATCACAATAGAGGGTCCTGGACAGAGCAGGAGAAAAATGTAGAACAAAATTCAAATTTCACAGAAAAAAACCAGACTTACTGGCCTGAAAAAGACGAGAGGAATCCCCAAGACTATGACCCAGGGACACCCTGCTAACTCAAAACTGAAACCACTCTCAAAGGCTACCATTCGGCCAAAGATTAAACAAGCCTACAAAGCAAATAATAACACACATGAGGAATGTATTTCTTAGTTCAATCAAGTACACAAGACCAAATGGGCAACACCTGCCCAAAAGCAAAGATGAGAAGGTGGGAAGGGAAAGGAAAACTGGATGAATGGACATGGGGAACACGGGATGGAAAGGGGGAAAGTGCTGATACATTGCAGGGATTGCAACCAATGTCATAAAACAATTTGTGCATAAATTTTTGAATGAGAATCTAATTTGTGCTGTCAACTTTCACCAGAAGTACAATTAAAAAAGTGTGACCACCTGACCAGCAGCATCAGCATCTCCTGGGAACTTGTTAGAAATGCAAATTCCTGAGCTCCACCCCAGATCTGCTGAATCAGAAACTCTCGGGGCGGGATCCAGCCTTACAGCTGATTTGGATGCACATTCAACGTTAAGAACCACTGTTGTAATGTATTCCCTGGATCCTGGTGGGTTAGTTATCCTTCCAATTTTCACAAACTCCTTATGGAAAAAAAGAAAAAAAAATGGCGCTCTAGGCAGAAGTACCATGCCATCCCTCCACAGCAAAG